TGTTTCAATTCATGTATGTTGCAATTCATTCGATCGGATAGCGTGGGATAATGATACGATATAATCTCGTAGTTTCAATAAATTAATACATTGCTGTGTCTTTGTATTAAGTAGATTATGCCTTTATTAGATATAATTGTTGTTTGTATCAACATTTTCTTTTTTCAAGACAAGTTTCTTGTGTTATTAGAAATTTAGTCTATGCTATAATAAATCTTCTTGCATTTCTTCTTTCACCTCTAAATACAGTGATTTATTAAGGAGAAAAATTATCGCTGCAGTCAGAGGTGAGTTTTCGCTGCCTAAGGGAAGAATGTTTCGAATCTAGGACAGACGTAAGTTCCAATGGCTCGAATAGGGTCACCAAATAGGCGCTTCTGTCCTTTAACCTTGCGAGAAGAGGCTGTACAAGGAGAAACTATCGAATGACCGTGAGAAGTCAGAGAAATCGCGATGTACGATGCCGTTGGTTCAACGGAAAAGTCGAAATGCGCGTGAAATTGCGTGACTCTCCACGTATTTCACCGTAATATGGTGAAGGATAAAACTAAAAATTGATATGTAAATGCCGTAATATGAACGATGTTGTCGCATTACGTAAAGATAGATGTAACAAGCGTATCGAGTGCGTTTGGTGCTAAATGACACGTGTAGTAGAGGTTTTGCGAGTGGAATCTCGAGGAAGAGATAAAGCCCAAGTATTTTAAGCATCTTCTTAACAAGATGCTTACCGTCTCGCTTATTAGATGATAAAACTCACGAAGAAATAATAATAGAGCAAACGCGCTGTGATTTTGCGCATTGCACACGAGAATAGAACTGATTAAAAGTGCTTTTAACGAGCATAAGGTATAATTATACGCTCATTTTCTGAAAAATAGAGAGAACGGCATACCTTCATAGCAAGTAAACGAGAGAAATGAATTTTTTTCTTTGTGGATTAAAATTAACAATAGTGTTTACGTTACGCTAGGCCTCTTTGTGTTGTTGATGATTTATCAGCGGATATGCCATCCAACGGTCCATGCAAATCAAGTATTCCACTAATGTGGTCAGACGTTAATGCAAACGCATTAAGAAAATTTATTCATTGTATTGAATCGTAGTAGAAGTTGATCAAGGTCGTTTTTAAATAACTGTATCTTTTAATTTGCATTTATACAGCTCTTAAACAAATCTTTTTGTTCTTGACATCATTTCGGAAAATTCTGTATAAATTCTTTTTAGCTTTGCATTATAAATGCAATTTAAATTAAATTTTTTTTTAGACGTTTTAATGCTATGTAAAAAAATATCTGATAATAATAATTTAATATCTTATTTTTATAAAATAAAATAATATGAAATTAACTTATTAAACAATATTGAGATTAGTTATCGGTTATAATCTGTAGAACTGACACAGTATGTTGAAATAATCTTCAGTAGCAAAATATAGAGTTAGGCACAAACTGTGCTGGAGAAATTATGACAGCCAAAAGGTAAATAACACTTTGAAAGGTTTGTTGAAGGAGGTTTTAGTGTCATTAACACAATATAGTTGTGTCATGTTAAGTTGTCCGCATTATTCGTACAGGTATTATTCGCACATTTAAAATACCAGATATTGACGCTTTTTATTACTTCGAAGACGTTTTGCCAATTGGCTGTGTAAATCGAAGCACTTTACATTTGCTATGCACGCAGTATCGATTGCATTGAAAAGCAGTGACGTCTGTGAATATGCGCGAAGAATACTAACTATGCGCTTTTGAAGTGCGAATAACATTATTATGAGATCATAGCTTAGCATAACATTAATCCGTTTGTTTTATTAAATTCAAATAAGACATCTTTGAATTATTATTATCGAAATGAATTACATGAATTTTATACCAACTAAAGTTTACATAAACAAACAGCAACCACATTAAAAATGAAATTTAGAAATCAATTATAACGTAATGTCGCTGGAACGCAAATACCTTAAAATAGCAACGACCTTACGAAGAACAATGCGTCTGTTCACTTTCGATTATTCACAACATTTGAAGCGTATCTAATGCAGAAGAGCGAATGATTTCACTTGTAAACGACATCATATTATGTTATTACAATTATGCAGTATAAGAGAAATCTTGATACGACGTATTTTGTATACATCTCTACATCGTAATAGATATAATAGCTCGCGGAAAAGCAATTCTAAGCAAGATTAGATTAGATTAGATTAGATGCATTAGGTTTTGATTGTTCGTATTTTATCCCGAGATTTACGCAATTAAAGTAGTAATTAAATAACAGAGATCTCTAACTATCTAGTACGTTAAATCGAATTGGAATGCTAGATCAAACTTTAATTATTTCCTTCATTGTATAATTCTTCGATTGCGCAACGGAGTAAGTACGGGCATTTATACTGCTTCTAATTTCATTTACGTGTCGTCGCGCGTTCTAATGCGAGCCGCGATATGCAGGTCGATGATCGAAGTTCTAGCGGATCCGAGCAACACGCTCGGTATGTGGCGCTCGATGTGCTCGACGGGATTTCTTATCCGGAGCGTGTGTCGCGGACAGGAGAATGCGAACCGAAGAAGAGCATGCGTAATATTATACAATCGCGTTTTGGACTCAACTCTCGCGATTAACCGGTCGCGTTTTATCATGAATTCAGCTGCGATCTTTACGGCGGAAATATGCGCGAATATAATCGAAGTCGTGAGTCACAAAAATGTCAGCGGGGCAGTGGCCGTTTATTAAAGCGTTTGTCGGGTATCGTTCCAGAAAGAGTGCCACAAAAAATGCCTTTTATTTTTTGCGCGCCGTAACGACGCGACATTTCCTCGCGTACACCGCAAGATGCGCAAAGAACTGTTGTTGAAGAGAACGGCCGCGGCCGCACAAGGTAATTTCCGTCGTAATTGAGAAAATACACCGGCAATGGCCTCGTTACGATAGTCGTCGATTTCTCGTAACGACTTCCCGCGCGTATGCTCCGATTTGGAAGCTACGCTTTTTTATTCACTTTTCTCGCGCGTCGCGCAGAATAATAATGCGGACGATAGTGCGTAAATCTTGATCTACTTCCGGGGAATGCTAGCGATCGAGGAAGATACAAATGAGTTAGATTTATGAATCGCTCAACTTAGATGTGACGTATACGTTATATTTGTCTCGAGGATAAGGAATGACGATTTCTCTCTCTCTCTCTCTCTCTCTCTCTTTCTCTCTTATCACTTCAATAATATTAGAAATTTATTATCTTACTTGTTAACACATACTGATGTGTTAATTGTCTGCAGCTTGGTTGCTCGTATTTTTATACTGCTTTCACGCCAATTAACTCAGATTATTTTTGGAGGACTAATTTTTTTCATGTATAAAGAATTTCTACATTCTACTTTGCAAAAGGAAATTTTTATTTTAATAACATATGAGAAAATACTCACTTTTCATGCAAATAATATATGTATATGAGACACGATTTCCTCTAAACAATCACGCATAAATAAACTTTCGTTTACGCTGAAGAGTTCAGCCATGATGACACTACTTTCTCAGCTTGACAGCGGATCAATGTTAGCGAAAAGAAAGTAGTCCGGAATCCTCAATTTTTCTGTCCAATCTTTTCGTTTTCAAGCTTTGTGATGGTTAGCAAGAAGGTACGGACTTTCGGAGCAATTAGGGAGACACGCAAATGGACCGTAAAATGCACGCCTCAAATTCAATCGACTCCAGAGAAAATTTAGTTTCACTTTTGCATCTTGCTCTTCTCCTTCGCGTGCCGCGCGTCTTGCTTCGTGATAAGTTTTCTAATAAAGATTATCAAATACATTAGTTACAGTCGCCAGCACTTAATTTAAGTCTAATTGGATCTCGCGGGAGAATCGCGTGTGATTTGGGGTGTGACGCGATGTGCACCTGAAAATTACGTTAAGCCTACAGCTTGCGTTTCACTCTGTTTAAACTATATAAAATAAATGCCGACGATTAAAACTGTGCGGGATTAATTTTATATGACGAGTGCGATGTAGTGTTTTCTGACGCTTTTAAAGTAATAGATAGATATGTATTCAGGAAATGACACCTGCAATGTGTTTGTCTTCTAAATCGGTCTCTCATTAAAGTTACGTAATTTGCTGCGTGCTTTTAAGTATGTAATTTCAATGAACAGGAATCTTCATCATGCAACGTTGTTCAGGATATAATACAGTAGTTATATAGCTTTAGAATCGCTCGTAACTGCATTTTATTACGTGATTATATCGCTATCTTGATAAAAATATAGAAATATCGGATATTGTAAAATTTTTATGGATACTCCTCTTTGTTATTTAATTGCATTTTATTTTTATTTCTATAATATTGCCTTATTTATTTTTTAGCTTTTTACAAAAATGTGAGACAGTATAACGTTCTCGTTTTTCTTGCTCGATAGGAAAATCAATTGTCTTTATTATTTCGGCAGGAAAATCAATTGTATCACTCGGTTGTAACTTTTTTTTATATCGATGATTCACGTCCGCATAGTGTCACGACTTTTGTTTATGTCCAAATTGAATAGCTGATGGCAACAGTATCTTTTCGAGGCACGTGCGCGCCCAAACGTAGCGGTCAACAATGGGGTTACGAGATATCAGGTAAAGATTGCCACGAGATCGTGCCAGGGTCTTAGCAGATCGTTCGAAACTTTCGCTTTGAAATCGCGCGTGATCTTTGGCGTCATCAGCGAGCAAAGGCAACGTCGTTACGTGCCGTAATTCGAGATGCGCCGGAAAGACACGTATCTGCAAACGTATTCATTTTCTTCCGCGATTTGCCACGCACAAACACCGGCAGTTCCTCCTGCGCAGTAGGTGGTTAGGTAAGTGAACGACCTTAAGACAACGGTAATTGTACGTGAATTTTTCAAAGCACGTACAACAACGGTGCGTTACGACACGCTAAGGTCGCTGCATGCCGAAACTGCTCCATTTACGTCGCCCCCGGATTCGTCGCGCAGATTTATGCACTTGTGTGAATATAAACGAAACGGTCTGCAGATAAACAAACTCGCAGATCACTGCGTTACAGAAGAATGTTACAAAAATAATTGAGAAAATTGAATTCAAGTTTTCACTGCATAGTCATTAAAATAAGAATATGTGGATTAGCCTGATAGAATATTTGCTTTCACCATAACGGAATTCTGACGCTTAAACCTATTACAGATTATTTATGTTGAAGATTTAAATGTTAAAATAGATAATATTAAATAGAAAATTGATTGGAAAATATGTGCGAACAATTTTGAAAAAAATTTTCTATTAGTTTCAATGTTAGTTTGTTTTTCTCTCAATGCTATTCGAAAGTAGGAAAACGATTTGATATCATTGAACTCATTTCGATGAACGCCAAGTTAATGACTATCATACATACACATGAATACATCCACACAAATAAAAGATAACAGTAACATTCTTAAATAAATCAACGTAAAGATCGATAAATGAAGCTCGTAAATTTCATAAGAACGATATTAATTAATTCGGCGTGTTCACTCGCGGACAAACTTGTTCCGTGTTTTTCGTAATCGCCATCGAGATTGTCGATTTTGAAAGTCAGCAACCGGCCGTCACACGAAATCGCTCATATTCCTAGCAGACAGAAATGGGAGCTCGAAACTCTAGCCAGGGACCTGTTGCAGATGATCCTACGACCAGAAATATGCCGGGACCCTCGAGAAGCACATTCCAAAGAAGGGTCGAGGGGAGAAGACGGGAATAGCGAGATTGAGATGGGAAAAAAAGGAGAGTACTACATTATAATTCAGTATATATATATATATATATATACAAGTCTCTTAACGAAGCCGAGTAGTCACATGCATTGATATACAGTATCATAATAATATGTTGTTTATATTATAATAATCACTCACAAGATAATTGAAAAGAAATATAAGATAAAGCGAGGCAAAAACAGGAACTCATTAACATCCGCTGCGAAATTATCAATGAGAACGCAAGATAACGAATTAATTTTAATGACAGAGAGGACAAACAATTTTTACGATATACAGAGAAGAAAATAAGAAGAATCGAGAAGGCAGAATAGAAACTCGTCGAGGACTGACGCAGCAACAAGTCTTGCAGAATTAGCATTCAGACCAGCTCGAAGATAGGTTCGAGAAAAAAATTCACAGAACGACGGCGAGAGTGAAATGGATGAGAACACGAGACGAAGAAGGGTCCGGAAGAGCAGAAGGACGGAATGCAGATGAAGAAGATGCACTGGCACGTATCCCGATCGTTCAAAGTATCCTTCGGCTCCTTTCGGTTGGAATGGACCCGGATGCCCTTCGCGCTGCTCTTTCGGAGGGCCGCGTATTGTCCGCGTCGGCGTGCGGCGCGGGGGGGCTCCGGAGAAGCGATAGAGCGAGGGCAGGGGGATGGGGTACATCGGAGGGGGAGGGGGGAGCTACGGCAGGGCACCCAACTTAACCTTCGAGCAAACGGTCAAAACGCAATCAAATCGGAGTCCACTCACCTCGAGTCGCTCGTTCGTGCCGCTCTCCAACGACGCCTCCCGCGTCATTCACCGTCGCGACGGTCGCTTGTGGCCACCCCCGCAAAGAAAGCACCACTGATGGTAACACAACAATAAAATACCACACGTTGCACACACGTCAAAGCGTTTGTACACGCACAATGTTGGCGCGCCGCATCGTCCTGCGATCGTTTAAAAAGTAATCCTCGGCGCGGGCGCAACACCGAACTCGCAGCTCAGATTCTACGGTCCCATCTGAGCCATCACTGCGTCGTCGCCTGTTCCTTGTTCAGGATTACACTCCGCCGTGTCGGACGAGATCGCTCACACATGTGCAACGATCGTCGTGGATAAGACGCGAAAAATGCGATGCCGCGAGGATCGCGCGCTCCGCTCCGAAGCGGCAGGTAAGTGTGACAAACGCCGACAGACCGACGTGTTGCCGTTTGACCTGCCTGCGAACTGACCAATCGCTGCGCAGGTGGTACCCCGCTGGTGGCAGGAGCAGGGAAAAAGACACGAGGGGCCTAACCACCTGCGGCGCGACCTGCTGGGGCCTGGTGCAAAATGCTCCGTAGATCAGGCCCCGGTTCTCTCACGCTCTGCTGATGCTGTTCGGTCGTTGGTAACGCAGCACCATTCGGTCGTGAACGACGGATGGTGGGTTGTTCGGCGTTCCGGAACGTTATCATGGAATGAATAGAGCGTCCGTTCACAAAGACGAACTGAAACACAACTGAAACACTCGACAAAGGTTCCACCGTTATCAGCTGCTGATAATTTGCTTGATTAATTTATTACGCTAATTATACTACAATGACATGCACGAGGCGAAGAAAATTAGCGCCTCAAATTTGTCATTCAAAAGAATGCGGAATATCTCTCGTGTTTCTCCAATCTAGATTAAAGATTATGTTTATTTACATCATATTTTAAGTAAAAAAATATATTATGATTGTATTAAACGTGCTACAAAATATTATTTTAATGAATAAGAGATGGAATATGAATATGATTACATTTTTTCAATTTCTCAATGATCAATAATTCTTGGAAAGATTTCTCGCGTTATAAGCATTATGATGCTCATGCATAATAATACAGCATTGATTATATTATCAGCAATATTTCTTACTAGATCACGCGTTACGTTTTCGCGATAAAGTCTGGAAAAAAACGATAGACACATGTGAAATTCCTTATCGTGATGAAGCAATGAAATTCGATATCGTTCGGTGATGCGTCAATGTGGGGAAAATATTACGTGGCGGGCCTCGCGTACGGTGCTTCAAGGCTGACCCGGCACATAGGTACTTATTGTATCAAGTCTCGTTAACGGAGATGTTCATTCACTCGCATCGACCAGATGACCAGTATGGCTCGCGTAACTCGCCGCCGCCGCTGCGTCTCACTCGTGTCGCGCGATTGCAAAAGTGGCCGGATACAGCGGCGAATGCGATTTAGGTGATATGTGTCTGAAGCATCAATCTTGCATTATGGAAAAACAATCGATGTTCGATTGACAACGATGGCGGCGCTGGTTCGTCTAAAACGTGGTAGCGTCCAGCTCAGACACGCGGCACTCGAAGTCAAAGGTACGTGTGTCCTCAATCGACTTCCTTCAATAACGTTCCTCGGAATTCTCTAGGCGCATATTATTACCGCACGATCTCGAGATAATTAATGAATGATTTGCGCGACGCCTTACATCCGTTCAGATTTAAAGAATATCAATAACTTAATGATTATTCATAGTGTCAATTTATTTTAAGTATCGTGAAATTATTGAATGATAATTTTACAGCCATAGATTTTTTTATTTAATGTAAAATCGATTTTTGCATAGTCGATCTCGAGAAATCTCGAGATTAAAATTATATTTGGTGTTATTATTTGCAGTTAGTATTTATCTGTAATTTGTAAAAAATTAGTATTACATTCAATGAGATATATTGAGATGCATGACGAATTTTCCGGTTTACACTACTCAAAGAATTAATAGTATCGCGCATTCATTGTCTTGTCGAAAAGCTATTTGCGTTATATTATCACTGAGCCAAAGTCGAGGTCACCTGTAACATATTCGGAGTAGTGGAGAGATAGTGCGCAAAGAATCAAACATTGGGAGTGATAAGAGCGAGATGTCGTGGTCGGTCGCATTATTTTTGAGTTCTGTGAGATGGCAGACTTCGTCAAGAGAGGTAGCGTGCAGTTCGTTAAACGTGGCAGTTGTCAACTAAAGCTCGCTGCGCAAGAGGTTCGAGGTTCGTCTATTTTAATCACTGAAACTAATTTTCCTTTTTTATTGCGTCACATCTAATTTTATTTAACGCTGTCACGCTACCACATTTAAAATAACTTTATCAATATTATTTATTTATTTGTAATAATTTACTTAGTGTAGCATAATCACAATCAAAATTTTTCCACTTAAAAAATCTTATAAGAGGAAAATTTTACATATTTGTACATTGCATATTTTTGCAAATTATTCTTTTTATACTTACGTTAAAATTAATACGCAAAAACCATCGTGTCAGTCGTTTGAGTAAGTTATCAAAATCAAACATGTCGTGCACTGTGTTTGGAAATCACGATAATGAATGTACACACATAAAATATTTTTTTGCTACTTATATTCTATCTATCGAGAATAACGTCATTGAAAATTATTGATTTAATTAGTAAAATATTTATTATTATATAATAATTTTTTATTTATTTTTGTCAATAACTTGACAATAAAAAATTGCTTGACAGTAAAAAAATTACGTAATAACTTTTATGAACATTCAACAATTTTCATTAGCATTTTAACGATAGTAAGATTATTACTCTATGTTTTATCGATTTTTACCAGTGATTTGTTTGAAACGCAAGTAGCAGCATAATTATCATGAGATATCACGCAATTATATTGTTACTTATTAGCGGCTGTTCGAGCGCGACACATCGTCGCCGCGCTGGTCGCAGTTGGATTTGCGCTCTGTGGCGCAGTCGAAGTTAGCTCTTCCGTTGCATTACTGGCAAATCAAAAAGATAATCATGCCATCATCGATACTTCTTGGCACTGTGATATGCTGGTCAATATCACCAGTCGTAATCGCACCGAGGACTTTGAGATTATATTTATGGAGGTACTAAATATATTCTGATGTCATTTAGCATTACATATGCATTCTTTCTATTTTAACTTATCTAACATTTTATTTGCAAACGCAAATATAAATGACACAGAATTAGCTTTAAATATAATTATTTTACTTTCGCTTTAATTGTTGAATTTGTTAAACAATTTTAAGAAAGGAAATGTATATCTTTTTATAAACTAGTTTTTTAAACTTGTCTTTAAGATTTTTCGAGAAATATTGCACGAAATGTGAGGAATATTTATTATTCATGTTATGAACGACAGCTGCCGCAGGAGGAACGAGCGGAATCGATTATGCGCGAGGCCTTTTTATGGGGACAGGTTGCCGGGCCGATCCTGGGAGGTTGCCTGGTGTGGGGTCGATCCGGGCCCTCCATGGTGTTCTCACGAGCGGTTCTTAGCGCGTGTTTAGCGTCTCTATTAGTACCCGCAGCCTGGCGCGGACCGTCGCACGTTGCGCTTCGCTTGTTTCAAGGATTATGCACCGTAAGTCGGCGCGCAGATTTTTTATTGCCGCCGCCTCTAAACACTTCGCAATGCGAGCTCGATTTTGCGTAGCGCTGTAAAAACACAGCGTCGCGTTAACGACGCACACAAAAGCTTCGCGTGAAAATGCTGAGGATTATTGCGACATCCTCTTTTTGTAGGGCGCGACCATGCCTGCTGCTCACATGTTCGCTATGACCTGGTTTAAGAGCAACCATAGAAGCTGGTACTTCAGTTGTTACGCAGGTATGTTGCTGGTTGCGAATATGGCTGTTTAAACAAGAATGCAAGACGGGAACAATATACTTATTTCAATATTGTTCTATACGATAGTTGTACTTGGGAAAAAACCATATAATTTCTAAGATACATTTTGAAGCATTTTATCGGACGCTTTTAGCTGCTACAACTGGTCCAAGTTAATTGACTAATTTTCATACTTTAAGCTGTCAGCGTTGGTTATTGCCTCACCGGATGGCTGGGCACCGCTGTGGTACGAACATTCGGTCGCGATTCTTTGTGTTACGGTCTGGTTCTTTTGGCGCTATGTTGGTACTTCGCATTCGGTCGATTCGTCAAGGATACGCCGAAGTCCTATCAACACGACACAACCGTAAGCGACGCTTCCGAATTGCTTAGCTAGCGCTTGTCAGGAGTCTGTCGATCTTGAATATGCTAATTGGCTGATAAGAAATTACTAGGATAATTGAATGTTTTTCTGTGTAGATTCGAGGAATTTTCCGTATGTTAATTAGCATCTACGACACATTATGACAACTGTAATGTTGACTTGGAATTTATCACGTGCATAAATAGTCTACGAAACAGTTTCCGCGGTGAGTAATTGTTTGCTGATAATTGCAGGCGGCTGTGATACCGTGGGGCAAGCTATTGAGATCTGTACCCGTCTGGGCGTCCGCAGTAGCGACTATGGGTAATCAATGGGGCGACGCGACGCTCGCTCTTGGCATGACGAAGTATCTGAAACTCATTTACGGGTTCTCCACGGCTAATGTAAGTTAATTGAAAATCATTATTCTAACATTTTTATTGTTAGAAAAACACGAGGAGAATGAAAAAAAAAATATATATAAGCGGGAAAAGAGCGTAAATTTTGTATTATGACTCAGTTAAGTAACGGCATAAGAATTCAGTCAGGAATTTTATTCGTACGACCGATCAATATTCCGAAGACAGCTGTGAACGCGTAACAAATCTCACCCCGTTACTAAGTTACGATTCTATTCAGGACTCAGTGCTGACCACATTACCTCACATCGGTCACTTTATGGCTGCGCTGACATGCGGTCTTCTGGTGGACCACGTTCGCGAGTCTAAAATAGTTTCCACGACCACGGCGAGAAAGTTGGTCGTTTATACAGGTGTGTTGTGTGCCTCCATATATATAAGTATTACGCCTATTACGCTACGAAACGCGCACAAGAATTCTAGTCATCCGAATCATCTAATAATTCAGTTAATTTATGTATATAAGGTGATAACTTTAGTTGCCTGTCGGAAGATTTCTAACGAAAGCATAAAATTTGAAATTACGGAAAGTGCATCATACATTGAAATCTATGTAAAATCTAATATTCGTTATCAAATTACGGTGATGAAAAAATCGGTACATTAAAGATTATACGTTGCGCGTCGCGATACGACTCGATTGCTAGTGCAACCCATGCCTTAAGATCTACGAGATCTCATTACGATAGCTCACGAGATCTTATTATGATAATTGAAGGAAAATCTCAAACGTGTTGAGTAACAAGCTGAGAGCTTCTTTATTCTCTGTAAGCTGTATTCTATGTAGCAAGTGTTATTTCCTCAACATCTTTCGGAACTTTTTAATATTCGCAACATTACTAAATGCGGAACACATGATTAGCGCACTTCATCCCCGCGGCCCTTCTTTTCGTCGCCGGTTACGCCGGCTGTCAGGCCCTGGGTGCTGCCTGGCTGGGGATAGCAGCCCTCCTCGTTTCCGGTACTGCACCGGCCGGTGCACTCGCGGCTATAGCCGACCTCGCACCTGCGGAATCGCCGGCGTGTGCCGCAGCCGCGTGCGCTCTCTGCTCCACGCTGGGCGCCGCGGGATTGCTAGCCGCCAACTACTTCGTCACTCAGGCTCTTCACGGCTCCGTAAGTCGAATTAGTATGACTCGGCGCGCGCATTGTCCGCCCACGCAAATGTAACACGCTAAATAGCTTTGTCGTGCCACGTCCGCGAGCATTGAACATAACACGCTACTGTTATGTAAAAAAGATTTTAGCGAAAAGACTTTCTTTGTGCTTTCTACGTTCCGCATGACTCACGCTACAATCATTTATCATTCGCTCTTAAATTTATCATTTTGTATTTGCAATCTGTCCGCTTGAAGCTAAAGAAAGAAAAAAGGTTCTAATTTCGAAGAAAAACAATATCGCCGATTTCAGATCGCTGGCTCCTGGCGATTAGTGTTCGGCGTCGCGTCCGTCGTCTTGTTGACGACCGCTGCGGTCTTCCTGGCGCTTGGTAAAGGCGTTCCGCAACCGTGGATCCCATCCGTGGCGAGACCGCGGAGTCACGATGTAATCTACGAGCAGGACGCGTTGGAACTCGATTACGAGGACGTGGGCGTGCAGACCGAGCCCTACGGGCCCTATTCGGTGGAGGACGACGTCGAGAGTCTAAAGAACGTGCCTCGCTCGGCGTCGATTCACTCGAAGATCTCAGTGACCTCCAATTGAATTGTGACCGCCCTCGTGCGATCTTTTCATGCCATTTTCACGCCTTATTCTGTGCCAAGGATACCTTATTCTTCTAGATTATCGCGATAGAGAAAATAGTGTACAATAACTGCGCGAGAATACACGCACGATGCAAAGGATGTATATAAATTAAAAGTTAGGATTACATATTTTATACGATTAAGATAAATTTGTCTCGAATAACAATGCTACAATAAACAAAAAAAAAAAAAACAAAACAATAAATAAAAATAATAAATCTCCATCTCTTATTAAAATTGTACAAGCAAAAGTCTGCTTCTTACAGATAATAATCTTTCTATTACAAATTGTCGCAGGATTTCGCGTGAAACAAAATTAGAACACCGGATTAACTTGAGATAAAATTGTTGCGAAACGATGCCGTGAATAATAACAGGTAGATTCGTCGACTGATAATTCGACGCGTAGAAAGTCGATAAAGATGATAAGAGTGTCGACGCGCATTAGAAATTGCAGAAGTTAAGTATCGCTTTTTTATCTCTGATTGCTCGCTTTCGACTATTGTTGAAACAGTTTCGCTTCATCAGGATGTTCCGTCGCGATTTTCTCCGTACACGTTATTTCCTAACAAAACTGTTGCATACAAGTATACGTATTACGCGCGTCCTGCGAGACAATGTGTATCCTCCACGGTGACTTTCTATCTGTGGAGAAAGAGTGAGAGAAAAGCCGGCGGATGTGACAGGCGCTCTAATTAGATGGCTTTACGGATGGCGTGTCCTCTTAGCGGTGCTGATCCCACCTCGAAAATGCGTCTACGCTATTGCGCCTAGTGCATGCACGGAATACCGGAAGGCGTATATAAGATCACTGTCCGCGCCAGCGAGTGTCTCCGTGTCCCAATGACGGCCTTTCACGTGCACGCTTGCATATCCGGCGGGCGTGGAAAAATCAGAATACTGTTTAGATATCCGCGGAATATGAACTGCCGTTCGCTGCAAATTGAAATATTTCGCGCACCACTTTTTTTTTGCGCCAGAACTCGTTCGATCGACATTCTCAACCAATTATTGAATCAATATTGGCTTTGCGGTTATCCATACAATACGTTTGCATGATGATTTGTTATTACTCGCTCATTCTATTTATTAATAACCGGTACGCGTATATTTTCGTACTCTTCCAATAAAATTTTAAGAAGCTTAGAATAAGTCTTTCTGACCTCTTTGTTTTAAGTACGATAAAATTAGCAATACCAACATTTATTTACATTTATGCTTATTTATGCGCGATAATCAACCAAGATGATCAAGTAATTACTTAAATCTTTTTTGTTTGACGACAACTTGAATTAATAATTATTATGCAATTCAGAAACTCCAGTTTCCATTACTTTTTGATCATCGCCACTTGTGCAAATCAAACATTTGCTGAGCGGCAATTGCGCCGTTTCAAGAATCTTCCAACTCGTGAGATATTTGCTTAGTGTCGTATACGTAACGCGTTTACCGCAAAACTTGCTCACGGACAAGGAGCGAGCTCTCCAAATGCGTGGAAACCGCGCGCGAGAGATCTCGTGATCTCCGCCCCCGGCCGCATACTCGCGCGCGACTATGCGAGTTTGTTGTGCAGATCCGACCGGGGGGCAACGGTGTCGCAACTCGCGACGCTAATTACGACAGTAGACGCGTTACTATTCTTTCCCGGCAACTCTCAGGGACTTATGAAATGAGTTCTCACACAGCGCCTCGTCTACGACTCTTTTCTTTATTTCGATGCGTATATATCACACTAGTCTCTTACGTAACACCGTATTTACAATCGCAAGCAGGGAGTACGCTAGAGATGTTTTAGGGGTTAGAACTTTCGCATGTTATCCTCGCATTTCAGTGATAGGATAGATATTCTCTTTTTTTTAAATAGTTAGTTGAGACAGATGCATCAATGATTGCCTGCTCATCAATAAATGTCCAAAGTATTTGTCTTGCGATTACGTTAAATATTATAAGTACATTTTTTTAATTTAAAGCTGTGGGTATAATTCTTATGTTATAAATATCGCATAATTATAAATTACATTTGTTATCTGAAGTTATTTGATCATTTACTGATGACTTCATTAATTCTCTCTTCATTAATAATTTAATACATTGAATTAAATTTTGTGTAATATCTGAAAGATATGTGAGAAAATAGTATTTTTGTTCAGGAAAAGAGTTCAATTATCTAATCATATCTCTTAATCGATCATACATTGATGCATCTATTTTAGCGAACATAAATATGTAACGACGAACGATAAATATGCGCATCAGCAGACGTTGGAAAGTTATCGTGTAGAAAATCGGTCTGCATAGCGACGATTTCCCTTTCGTGAAACCGATATGATTCATTAACGATATAATGCGTCCATTGCGTATGCGATATTGGTATTTGTTTGCGAACGGACATATCCGTTCGTCTCCTGTAAAAAAATCGCTACTATTGACGCAAGCTGCTTCGTCACACTTAAATATATTACCGTAAAAATTTGACAGCGTTTAAGGATACTTAATAATAGATGAAGCAATATTTAAAAATTGCCGAAAGCAAATTCGCGGCTGTTCGTTGACTTTCATTGTATTTTCTTTGTTTTATAAAAAAAATTATAATAACTAGTTAAAAAATTCTACAATAATTTACTTGCAACGAGAGTAATATTCCTTTCTAAGGAATTAGCTACTTCTAATCATTCGGTCATCGTTACATCTTTTTCCTCATATCTTTTTCCTCTTCCTCGTCGTCCGCAATAATCTGCACACTCCTGATCGGACCCGTCTTCCTGTACCTCGACGCCGGCGTCGTGGTACTCACGATGGTTGTCGGCATCATCGTCGGCCGTTCGGCGTTGATCGCCAGATTCACCATTCGTAGCAGCAACGCCTCCCTGATCGGCGCCGGCAGGATTTCCTCGTTGTCTTCCATGTCGTGCGTATAGAATTTCTGCCTGTACACTCTTTTGGAATACCTGCCGTCGTGGTAATCGTCGTACTGAGGATAGAGCGGATTTAGAGCTCGAGGATACAGCGGACGTCTGAGGGGCACGCGGTCGCCGTATTGCACCTGTTGCTCGTACGCCAGTTCAGGCCTTGGAAGTGGCGTTTGATAGCCCGCCGGATACGACGGGTACGGTTGTTGATCGTACAGGGCATCCTCGAGGTAGCTTTTCGGATAGGCCAGAGCCTGCACGCCGTACTGGCTCACCAGCAGCCTCCGCAGCAACGTCTGGAAATCACGCCGGCTCAGAGGGGGCGTGATCGGATTCGGCGGTTCCGGCGGCAGTGCCAAGCTGCCGGCTCGGTAAGGATACTCGGGCGTGGTCGGCTGGTAGTCCCTGTCGTCCGGATGCGGCACCGGACTCGGCACCGGTCGCAGAATCGGCCGCGCTCGCTGCTCGGTTTCCGGATAGATCAACGGTCGCACCGCAACGGGACGCGCGCGCATGTAATTGTTGTTCATCGCGATCCGCGCCTCGTCCTCTTGATCCGGCGCCGAGTTCTCCGTCAAGTAATGGACATTGCTGTCCGTCGTGGTCGGATAGACCGGCTGCTGACTCGGCGGCGGCCGGAGAAGAATTCTGCCGATCGGTATCGCTCTGTAGACGCCTTCTTCCTCGAGGTTGCCCTGTATATTGCCTTGCACGAGTAATCTGGGCGGCAGCTCTCGCAGATACTGTTCAGGTGGCTGTCGCACGAAGACAGGCTCGGCGGTGGTCTGTCTGAGATATTCCCGGTTGTCCACAGGTACTCTGGCAGTGGAGGTGCGAAGCAGGATCGGTTGAGGCGACGTGCGCTCCTCCTGAGTGGGTTTCGTCTCCGCTTCGTAGACTCGAGTTCCGTCATATTTCGGACCCGCGCCTCCTAGATTCTCCCGATTGACGTAGAGCTTCGGTCGCTCTGGACGCGCGGTAGTGGAAACTCTCTGCAGAATCCGCGGCGGAACAGTCGTGGTGAACAAAGGTCGCGTCGTGGACAGGGAACCGCCGGCGCCGTAAACGTCGGAGTGTTCGTCGCCGTCGTCGCCGGAATTCTTCGTGGTTTCGTCGTGCAATTGTCTCCTCAAGCTATTGCCCGTCGTGATCTTAGCCTCGTCCTCCTTCTCCACGAAGTCCTCGGAGATCGGTGGGAGGCTGTGCTCGATCGGTCGCTTGGCGAAGATGAGCCTTCGATAGGCGCCGCTCTTATCGTCCGTGCTAGGTCGATTGATCTGCGAGTCTTCGTCTTCGGCTTCGTCTTCGATCACGATCGGCCTCTGCTGGCCGTTGATGATGAAACGCGGTCTATTTTTAGGCGTGCCTTTCAGATAGTGCGCGAATATCGTTTTCGGCACTTCGGTGGTGGTGGAGGTTGTAGATGTTGCGCTGGTACTGACGGCAGGTTTCCTTATGCGAGGAATTGACTGCACGACCGACGACTTTGTCGGCGTTTCCGTTGTCGTAGCGTACACGATAGTCGGCTTCTTCGTGGTTGCTGTACGATTGACGCGTGGTATACTTTGTACGACCGACACGTGTTCCTGTAATGGCGGCATAGTGGTCGCTTTGAAGCCCGTTCCATTCGATGAGGAGTACGAAACTCTCTTTATTTCGCCTTCAGCGTCGACGAAGCCGAATGTACCTTTGATATTGCCTAGCACGTCGCGGCTCTCGACCTGACAAAGCAAGATACATTCCGTTCACTTTTTTGCGCAATCTTAACATTGTGAGGGAAACGAATTAATTTCTTTACTGTTAACATAATTCGGATGGCTAATAAAATAAAAGATATTTGAATTAAATAATTATATATTATTATCTTGTGTTATCGATAATAATACAGTTAAAAAATATGAAAATAACTTTTACAATAATTTAGATCTGAAAGGATTATGTATTTCTCGTTTTATTCATTAACATTTAAATGACATTGTGAATTCTAAATATAGAAATAATTTCTTGTTTTTAAGATAAAAATTCATAAAAGTATAAAAATGTAAAAATATTGTTATAACGAGATCTATATATAAACTTCTTACCGTGAAAAGCGATTAGATTTGTATCTATTTAAGTTATTATTGATGTTGATGTAACATTAAACGTCGTCATTGGCATTGTTCGCATAGAAAATCACTACTATAAATGTAATCAGAGGTGGAAAAGATTAATCTGAATAATTAGTGTTCGATACTGTGGGAACTTATTGTGCCGTGCAATTTACTGTCTTTAAGAAAAAGCCGACAGGCGCGGTCGACATTACGCACGTAATTACCTTGAATGATCCATCGCCGGCTTCGTAACCGTACGTGTAAGAACCGTCTTCGTTCACCTTTCTGATCTGCTTCAAGATCGCCACTTGATGATCGTGATTCGTTTCTGACGTTTGCTGATCCGTGACGTTCGTGCAGCCGGCGGTCGCCAGGCAGAAGAATGCCATCAGCCATGGCGTCATCTTAAAAGCAAGATTTTTCTCTGTGAGAAAAAACGCAATAACACAAATATAGGTATGACGCATGATGATACAGATGATGCATTATGAATATCACGAGAAAGCAGTGTCAAAAATTGTAATCGAGTACGCGAGTTCTGAAAACGACGAATTTCAATTTTCACGCGATGAGAATTATTTATTTCTAATTTATTTAATAATTTACGCAAAATGAAATATTTGCATAATACGTATGTATATCCACATAACAATGTAACATGCACTTGTCACTCTATAGCGTTTCGCGTTCTATAAAACATTTCCCGGGATAAATCTTGAAGACATATGGGCGAAACATCACATGCAACCGTTCGCCGAAGCGCGCACTTTCTCACGAGCACCAATGTCGACTTGGCGAAAAATTGCTGGAACGTGTAAGATCGAGCACTTAGATGGATAGCGATTGAAATCGATCCCGTTCCCGCGCGGATCGGACACCGTACTCGCGCACTCGGCAATATACCTTGCTAGAACTGGAAACCATGTTACCGCGGATGCGGTGAATGTTCTTAATACCGCGTGGGGTGTCGGGTGCCGTTATATATAGGGTGACACAATAGGAAACCGCCGCCGCGCCCCTACCACGGTGCGCTGCGTCGCGCCACGCTCAACCTTGATGACCCCTAAACGTTCATTAAGGCGCTGGAATAACAAATGATAGCTCTTTCGTAGACGATGGCCGTAAAAAAAACCGCGAAGCGCGCGCGCCGCAACGCTTCGGTAGAAAATACACAACAATAAAGGTCCGCGGTTGTGTTTGCTCATCTCGATTGCACGTTCTCTCGTCGACGAGATTGCTTAAGACAAGATTATTTTAACGAGTAGAAGATGGGAAAAGTTGCCAGATGATCGACTTGTTACATGAAGCGAACATGTCGAAAAATGGCTACTTTCCTTTTTCTTCAAGTTAACAGTTGCATTTTTAATTTTATATCTTGCGCAGATTTCGCAGTATTTGAATTTTATAGCATAGACGTTTCCTTTCTCCCGTGAAAATATACGCGAGTTTTTATTATCGGTTTTGTACTGATGTAAAAAAACAGTTCCTTTTACGAAGTACTTTACATTAAGTAAATTACGTTTTCCGCTCATAATCTAATTTTTTTAAATTTTAAGCAAATTTAATTTTGACAAAAATTTAATTTTGAATTTAATTATCAAACTTGTTTATTCTAATCAATAAAATTACTTTTAGTAAATATATAACGATAATTTTTCGTTTATGAAGACGCTAACTGCGGCATTGTCGCAGAAATTGCTAGAAACCTGACAATTCGCATGCCTCGTAATATTCCGAAGAAAGTGCTCCGATAATGGCGACGAAAAAGAGCGGAAGTATGTCCCCTGAGGAGGGAATGAGTACGATATTCTGACAGAATGGGACACACTCGAAGAAGTTTCGGCTTCTGGGGGACAAGTGAAAGCTGCGTGGGAGTTGACGGTCGGGCAAGAAACACACACAGTAGTAAAATCTGTAACAATAGTTCCCATAGTGTGCAACACCAGTATTGTGGTATTCGCTCCACTCTAGGCACTCCCACAGGACAATTATTACATCATGCAATTTCCTCCGTGTTTCGTATTCACTTTTTTGATGCCACTTTGATATGCCTCGCATTTGTGGACATATCGGCTGTCTATCTTACCTCGCGTCGTGCGTTTCCTCCGCGGAGGATTGCTGTCTCCCGCGAGGCTTCGCCGAGCCGAGATCCACGCGCACGCGTACGCAATGCAGCGGCAGATCTATTGAAATCTAAATAATAAAATATGCAGGATATCCGGGAAAAGTGTACGAGACGCATCGGAAGACACTCATGCTTTCTCTTAGGTACTAATTGCTTTTGACAAACCTAGAGTCAATTTCTTTGTCACACTTATGCACTTGGATTATTTAATGTCTCATTATGAATGAAAACCTATATTATATAATTGTATGTTAAGTATTATTGATTGTTTGTTAATTTGATAGGTTTTAAAATTTCTCTTGAAGTAAAATTAGCTTAAAATTGAAAAAATGAGATCTCGTTATGTATTCATGCTTCTGAACCTTAATTCACCAAAACATAGCAATTTTTACAGTTATATAACGTTAATTAGGTCTTCCATCGAGCTAAGGAAAAGTTAACTTTTAATTCTCAGGAACAATCTTATTGTGGTTCTATATTTAATTTTTCTCGAGAGAGTTTTAAATAGTGCAGTATTTAATTTAAAATTGTAATGCTAAAGAGCATTTTAATTTTTTAAAATAAAATTAAAATTTTATTAAAAATTTAATTAAAAATTATTTAGTTTCCTATTAATTATAATTTTGCAATCTTTAATTTTTTTACACGCTAAAGCAGCTAAATATTTGCGTGATCAGTTTCTGCGGAAACGAGCGTTGGGTATGGAGTAAATTGTAACGCAATCACCGGTTGCACATTATCTCTGTTATATTTCGACTGACACACCTACATCGTTACCTACGAAAGATCTTACATTATGTCCGTGGAAACCACAGGTTTGTGCTCTGTTTTCGGCGACCAGCAATGCCAAAAATCCGCTGAAATCTTGCCGTTTCTTATTACAGTAATGTGTTATTTGGGCGCGCCGAAAGATACCGTGAGTGCAACTTGCGAAACGCACGTTAATACGTAACCGGACAATTCACTAAGAATGTTAGAATACGCGAGACGAATGTTAAAACGTGAATATTTGTGAAATGCAATCAATGGGACTGTGATTGAAAATTTTGAAGAACTTAGAAACGAAATGTTATAAATTATTAACGATTATAATAAAATAAATTATTTAAAATAGCGCAGTTTTTATATAATGCAATTTATTAAACATTAAAATATCAAAATCTATATTATTTACAATCTTGGAAAAATACTAGTGATACAGGCAAAATACCGAGAAAAAATACAAATTTACTGAGAACTAATCTTACAATTCCATTTTGTCATATGTGTAGATCCTTTTATAATCTGTAGGCTGATTACTTCTTTTCAGTCGAAGGAGTGCTAAGTCATCGCAAAGTTTTTCCCATCCTAAATACATATTTTATCATTCGCAATGAACTAGTTATGTGTTGGTACTGACTCACTTGATGTCGTAACACGTAACGCCTCGGCAATGCTACCTTCCATACGACGTTGTATGACGTGATAACGTATACCAGGAACTACACTGGAAATTTAAAAATAAATTATGAAAATATGTGAAAGATATTTTTTGCATATCAAATTTCTGGGATTAATTCTTTTATTAATAATCAATTTATCATAACATACAATTGCAGCACACATTCTAGGAAAATTTTGATTGTAGATTTAATTAGAAATTGTTTTTGTTACATATAAATTTTAAGATTTATATCATTGTTGTATTATATACTAAAGGATGGAATATCATATAACATTGTGACAGATCCTCCAAAGATATGAGCATATTTAATATTATCACTGCTAGAGATCTCATATTGTTCATCTTTTTTGCGGTAAGGAACTAACTTCACATGAAATGAAAGCGAAGCGAACGACGAAATTATTGTAATTAGATTACTTCAGAGGATTGCGCCGCGATTGTCGTCTTTGTGTACCAATTTTTGCGCGAGCTAGCTCACTGGTATCACATCAAGCACGTAGCGCATCTAAGTGTTATAAACGCCGCCGTTAAATTATGTCAATCTACGTATTTTTATGTCTATCGCTAGAATGATAAAAATAGTCGTCACATCCTTTTGACATTTACCGTGTAAGATAGAGGATGTTGCGCATGACATGCCGTGTCTTGTCATTTCGCGTGATTGAATCACGTTGACACTCGCTAATAACACCGCCATCTACCTGTCTATTTATTACACGTTCTAAGTGACTATCTATTATTTTTGATTGCTACAGAATGCAATAAATCGAGAATGTTTCGTCTATCCTTATAAAGATGTAGTTTTATAGCTATCATTATTATATATCATTTTATATTTTCCGCATAATGAATAATGTGTTAGAAATATTAGATATATATTTACTTATATATAGTTTACGTAAAGTCACATTTTTAAACTAATAAAGAAATAGTCCAGAATTCTAAAATATAAAATTTCAATATATTGCAGTAAAGTTCTAGACTTACGAAATGATATGTGTGATTTAAGATTTTAATGATAAATGTACATTTATTTTTATACCTTAGAATCTTATATCATTATTTACTAAGTCTAAAACTTTATTGCAATGCATTGAAATTTTATATTTTACTAGAACAATACAGGCGCGCGATACGCGCGATCAAAAAACCCGATCGGGTACCAATCAAAAAACCCGATCGGGGCCCGATCAAAAACCCGATCGGGGCCCGATCAAAAAACCCGATCGGGGCCCGATTAATAAACCCGATCGGGCTCAGATCAGGAACCCGATCGGGTCCCGATCAAAAAACCCGATTGGATCCCGATCAGGAACCCGATTAGGTTCCGATCAAAAAATCCGATCGGGCCCCGATCAGGAACCCGATCGGGTCCCGATCAAAAAACCCAATCGGGTCTCGATCAATAAGCCCGATCGAGGCTCGATCAAAAAACCCGATCGGCGCCCGATCAAAAAACCCGATCGGGATCCGAGTAAAATTATTAATAAAGTCCCGATAAGGAACTGATCAGGGAAGAGTAATCGGGTCCTGATGAGTATACCCGATCGGATTCGAGTATGAATATTAATAAGGCCCCGACAAGGAACTGATCAGACAAGGCCTTACTTAGTGATTGGCTCCTGATGAGTACACCCGATCAAGACCTGAGTGGAAATATTAATAAGACCCCGATAAGGAACTGATCAGACAAGAGTGATCGGGTCTTGATTAGTACACCCGATAGGGACCTTAGATGTTTGTAAACGCAATGTCCCTATCAGGAACCGATGGGGCTACACTATTACAACCTTATTTTTATTTAACTAGAACAATACAGACTCGTACTACGCGCGCGTACTTATTATAGTAATTTAATAAGTATGAAATCTAAATGTTTTAATAAAATTTTTTTATTTAAATAACCGTCAAAATAACTTTTACTCTCAAAGTATCAAACTGTCAGAATAATCGCGATAACCAATCAGCGTCGCGGAAAAGCACCAACAATACTTTCGATACATTCGAATATTGATCTTTCATGCTTTTTTTAAGAATGGAAATATATAGATAACAATAAAAGTTAACGGGCCTTTTATTCTTTTTATATTTATTAAGAATTATAAAATAATAATATGATAATAATATCTAATAACATAATATCAATTTCAATAAGATTTTGAACAGGTATTAATGATAAATATATTTTACAGTTTTCCTTCAAGCACAATTTTTGAAATAATTTATTATATTTGTACATAAAATAATGCAACAAGTATTTCATTTTAAAGTACGTAATGTGTACTATAATATAATTTTACTCTGAAACATTTTATTACCATAAAGATCTTTTTGTTTTCTAATTTATCGTTTACTGAATGGTAAAGTACAGTTATGGTAATTACATAGTTGCAGTAATACTTATGAATTCTCATAGAAGATAGAGATTGCTTATGATAGCAGATATATGCGGTCGTTTGTTAAACGATAGCAGCAATTGTCTCGGTCATCTTCTACCGGTAAAATGGAGAGCGTGTTTAGAAAGCAGTAGTGAAACTTTCGCTAACAGTCTGCGGCTTGCGTTAGCCACAAAACGATGAATAAACCGTGACTTATAGTATTACGGTCCACTGAAACTGAGTTCAAGGTTACATATCTCTTTATTATAGCATGAAGATCTCTCAGCATGGATTAATTAGAAATTGGAATATTTGTTTTTAACTTTAATATACAAATTTTGTTTTAATTATTTATCTGTACTAATTATATAATTCATAAAAGTAGGAAACATATATATTGCAATTTAGGAAAAGACACTCTAGACATTCTTTTTGTCCGACATAGATTTTGCAACGGGGAGTTCAGCTATTGTGGGAATCGGATAGGAACATGATACATCTTGTCGATACAGCGTCGAAAATAAATCATCGATCCAATTTACTTTCGCGATTGTATTCACGCGCGCACGTTTCAAAAATTAGGTAATATACTTAGCAACGGCCAGTCATGTATAAACCGTTTGGCTTGGTTTGATTTAACACTTCGCTCGACCCTTTCATTCTCGATGACTTTCACCTTTCAGGCGCTTTATAATCTACTTTTACCACAAAATCGAATATACACGCCGGAATAATGCATCCTTGTTCATTAACGTATCGCCTTCTTTGCGAACGATTATTATATACTCAAGTTGTATAAAAAAAAATTTTAAACTTATTATTATTAAGGACGTTATGAAAGCGTGCAAATTCTGCGCTCGAGACGTTGCATTGAAATTGGCATTTCATTAGGATTATCTTTCAAGCGAAACTAACGTCATACGTGATCATTATGCATATCAATATTGATTAGTTACGCGAGGTGACGATAATAAGATACAATCTATTTGAAATTTATTTAACCTTTTCAGGAACAATTCTTTTAAATTATTGATAGAAAGACAAGTTGCATAAAACGTGAGATGCAATAATAAAAGCCTCGAGACATGACTTGGAAATCGCTTGGAAATCGCAATTAAAATCGCTGTTTCAATCATTGTCTAAACGTCTCTTCAGTCGTGAATTACTTGTGGGATCTTGATGCGCGTTACAGAATAAATCCTGCTTGGATTTACGAACGCGCTAAATGCGTCGATTGTCTGCGATTTCACGACAACACGTGATTCATAATCGGAGCGGAGAAAACACTGCAGGTGGATAGCACGTAGCCGTCGTTCATGACGTAACGACGTTTAAACACGTCGTGCACGGTGACGCCGCCTTTCCCACTTTTCTAATTTCTTCTCGTTGAAGCGCCTTCCGCGCGTGATTCAGCTGTGGCACGAAACGGAAAATAGCGTGCCGCGGGGCATCGGCTTGTTAATATCTCGTCTGGTAGGAATTCACAAGTTCAAATATCTAATAAAACTCGAGGCCGACGTGTGAAGATATGCAAAATAATATTTGTCTGCGCAAATGCAAATAGAAGTAAAAACTGAAGTATTCTTGAAGTATTTAAAACAATTCTTTCAAAAATAAAATAAAATATAATATATACTTAATGATAAGATAAGTAATATATTTTAATTTTTTTAGTCGATATTAAATGAGATTTATCATTTAAGATATGCGTGAATTCTGAGATATCTTGTCTTTTTTCTGTTAATAAATGCAAATTTATGGAGGAATGTGGAAGTGAAATACCAACAACATTTATCGCGAATGTTTGCGATGTTTGCGATCTTGTTCAACAAGCACTCGATATGTTTATTTCAATTTCAGTTCGTACGTGCTAATACTTCGGTCTCGCAGTGCACGTTCCAAGCGAAAGTAAATGATACTGGGGATCGAGGAAATGAAAAGTGACGGCGTAGCAAATTTTCACAGTGATATTTTTCTTTCCAATATGTTTACAAATAATACAAAAGAAAACAACTATAACGTAAGATTCTTCTTTATGAAGATTTATGCGCAGTTATATCGTGCGTATCAATTGCTAAAGCTATACTTTAACGCTAACAAGTATTATTTACAGTATGAGTAGACAACCGCCGCTTCGAGCCCATTGTAGCAACGACACGATTAAACCATAAAATCGTCCAAGATAAAACGTTCCTTTCTTTCTTTCGTGTAAGAATTCTTGTGGATTTTAAAAACCATCCAATTGTAAAAGTATGGATTCTAAAAGTAGCTTTGTTATAAATTTACCTATTTTAATCGAAAGACGACGCCATATACATTTGAGGCACTTTATAGTTATAATTAATGGCTGTGTAACATCGCGGTAAAGATGATTTCGGTCCACTGCTGTTTCCTTCCCGAATTTGATACACATTTCCGCGAACAGAATAAGAGTCGAGTCGCGGAACGCATTAAATCGATTCTCACACTTGTGACAGAGAATGCAAATAGAAAGTCCGCGGCCGGCTCCGGCCGCGAATAGAATGTTGTCCCTACGAACTAGACCACGCCAATAAGAACCTATTGCAGTTTCCTCAACGGTCGAATCGCGGTGAACCCTACTCGCGGCAAGCTTGCAAAATTCCACGTTGCAAAAGACCGAGTACACTTCCGACCGACATCCGCGTATTGAAATTATTATCCAGTTAAAACGCGATATCTTTGCGCCACGGAATTACAAAGACGTGATCAAAATTGGAGAAATTTCAGTGCAATAATACACACGTGAAAAAATTAGAATTATTAAACCGATGATATTGCGCAAACCGACTGAGAATGATTGTATTGCATCATAAGATATTATCTTCGGGGCAGAGAGTCACGTAATTTTCAATTGAATTAAACAGATTTAATGTTGAATTAATGTTTAATTAAAAAAAAGTATAATAAGGTCTCATAACGTACAATCCATTTCTTACGGCATTTTATAGCACGTGATTATGAGTTATTACGGAATGCTGCATAAAATTGCATAGGCGAGAATTGAATGCAAACAATAGAACACTCATTGATGCGTTATATGACACAATAGAACAAACGTGCAACGTTTCAACATTGTGCGTCCAATCGAAATTACCTCGAGTCACCGCGCAAATGGATTTGATTCGACTAATTAGCCCCTTCCGTTTGATCGCGTTTCACCTCGCCTTTCATGCGACTCGATCCTGCGCTGAATCGACGTTTTGTAACCGAGTCGCTCGAACATTATTACGTGGCTCGGGCTTATAGGGTCATGCTTAAAAGGTCCGCGGCCGCGCGACGAATGTTCCGCTCGTGTCGCGGAACCTCCGTATCTCCGCGATAGTACGGTGTTAGGGACCTGCGAGAAATTGCCACGGTAATACATCGTACTTGCGTGCGTGAGTATTGCGTCAGGTTGTTGGCTTTCACTCTCTAACGTGCCTCATGAACGTACACGATATTAGACTGAAAAGAAATGCTCTCAGCATCGGCTTGAGAAACCGAAAGGATTCTGTTCTATGTTAATTCAGTACGCGAATAAATAGAATTTCACTTTTCGTCTAATAAATAAATTATTCTTCTGTTTTTTTTCCAGAAAAAAAAGAATATCTGCGACGAGATCATCCGAGCAGGAGAATCGTGGATAACAGAGATATGATAAGGTAAGAAAAAAAAAGTTAAATTTTGCCACGATTATTATGTCTTGCGACCGACTTTCCGCCTTTGTCACTGTTTGCGATTATTTTGTCAGTAATCGTACGCGCGCGGTTTCTTCATCCAATATCACATACATTGATCTCTTTAACCTTCGAGAAAAGCGGATTATGCTCCGATTGCATCGTCATCGGATATTATCGCTCATGCATTGGCCGAGTCGAACAGATATAGCGCAAGAACGCTTCGAGACACGCATTGAACGGAAAAGCGAATGGATATTATATACATTATATACGACTATCAAAGCGAAAAGTACTATTAAAAACAAGGTAAATTAGAAAATATAATGCTGCAGAAAAAGTTGAAAGATCGACATAACATTGACGATAAACCCGTGGACTTGTATATCGCAACATTTTTAACTATGGGCGCACGGTGTCTTTCCCGCGGAGCGCAGATTATATCAAATATATTGCACACGCATTTTCTCCGCGTACAACGCATGCATCAAAGCGCTCGTGTGTGCCATTCACTCGGCAATATACTTCATATATCCCGGCTTCTGCGTTATCATCTGATAATATATATATATATATACTATATATAATGCATATACTTATATGTAATACCCTCTATGCGCACGGGCCAATATTACGATCTACCAGCGCGAGATCCTCGGCAGTTTAGCTCGCGAGATGCTCGGAACAATATCGAATGATGAATATCGACGATTCGAGAATCCGAGGATCTAATCAAGGGAAGGGGGAGGGGAGAATTTTTAAGCGCCGCGATTCAGATCGCATCAGTAATTATTAGCGCCGCTACCTCGGAGAAATTGATCGATCTGACCTACTGAAAGGGACGGGGTGGCGGCGGAGGCTTTCAAGGGCGCCACGTAATAGAACGCCTGAGGTTCTCTCTGCGATTCCAGCAGTTGAAGCCTGTGCGGTTGTTGATGATGATGCTGCTGCTGTTGCTGTTGCTGTTGCTGCTGCTGCTGCTGCTGCTGCTGCTGCTGCTGGCGACGTTGTTGCTGCGCGTAGAGCTGCTGGGATTGTTGCAGCAGTTGCGCCTGCTGCTTCCTGTAGAGCACCTCCTGCGGCTGGGTTACGGTCGGGGCGGGCGCCGACTGGGCTTGCTTGTAGCCCTGCCGCTGAGCCTGCTGGTACTGCTGGTGCTGCAGACCGAGTAGGGACTGGGGCTGGGCTACGAACGGTTGGAGCTTGTGACTGAGGCTAAAGTCACCCACGGTCTGGGGCAGTGTCTGATAAAGCTGAGTATTGTACTGACCGGTCGCGGGATCGTAAATCAGCTCCGACTGATAGATAGGCTCGGCGCTGGCGGCGGCGGGGGCGGCGGCGGCGACTCTCGAAGAAGTTTGGGGCGAGGCCGGGGCGGGCTGAGATCTCGCGGGTACGTGCGTGCCGATCGTGTTTACGTAACGCTCGAGCTCGGCGGCGAAGTCGAGGTGGGGCGCGCTAGCGGCGGTCGTGGTGCGCAGACCAGGCGACACCGTGGGGTGAGTCTGGCTGTAAAGCAGACCGCTCGGGCGCTCGGTGCTACTGGGGGAGACGTATTGCGCGGCCACTTGAGCGACGTGGGGTCGTGGGGTTATCGCGACCGATTGAGGTCTGGGATGGCGGGTCACCGGTCTGCGGGTCGTCGTCTCGAGCGGCTGATAAACGGTCGAGGCGACCGTGGGTTGGCTACGGAGAGCGGGCGCCGCGGTGGTCTGGTATTGAGCCGTCGGGGTGGAAGCTAGCCTATAGAGAGACGGGCTGGGCGACGATTCGTAGATGGCGGTGGAGGGTGTGATTTGCACCAGGGTCGAGGGTCTTCTGAAAGCCGACGGTCGCAATTGCGGTTTCAAGTCGTCCTCGGTCAGCTCCTGGCTGGCGTCGTCGTCGAGCTGGTACTCCGACTGGAATATCGTGGTCGGCGCGCGAGTAGTAGCTGGCTGATACGTAGGTCTCGCCGAAACGGGTCTGGCCACGGGTCTGACAGCGGGATAATTTGCCGGTCCCGGCAGATCGTCCTCCTTCTCCTCCGGTGGCTCTTCTTCTTCGTCCTTCGGCGCGTTCGGGTCGCACGGATTGCCGGAGACATAAGTGAACTCTCTCTTGTTGCCGTCCGGATCAATGTAACCGTACTTGCCGCGTACGACGCAGTCGGTGCCGCGGGTTTCCTCCTTGAAGGAGCCGTCAGCCGCTTCGTAGCCGAAGGTGAAAGATCCGTCGTCGTTGACCTTGTTGTAATTCCTTATGGTCTGCACCGGCGGCGGCTTCGACGCGTGCAGCCCATCCTTCGAACGTGGCGAAGGAAGCGCGCGGGTGCGCGGCTGGTAGACCGCCACGCTATCGTATTCGTCCTCGGCGGCCTGATTGTCGTTTTCTTCATTATAGTACACTTGAGAATCCCCGCGAGGTCGGATGACCACTCGCCGCGCTTCCGTTAGGGCGAGCAGACACGCCGGGATTACCTGGCGAAAAAGGATTCATTATGATAGACAGCTAGAACAGTTAGATGTGTACAGATATGGATCATTAATATATTGATATGTACGACGTTACGCATATTGCGCGCGAAAGAAAGTGACCTTCTTTCGCCGGATTAATATTTTTTAAGTAGTTTCACGTTGGCGCGAAAGTGAAAACGGAAAGCGTTTTCGGTGAAAATCGTGATTCGTACATTTTTATACGTCCGTTTTTCTGAAATCGAGGAAAAAAGAAGATTAACATATCAAACATCTGCGAAAACTTTCCAATTTCTCCTATAAAGATCTTTCTAATATTTGTTTCCATGAATACTTGCTCTCCGCTTCTATATAATTAGCGCAATTAACAACAATTGAATATTTTACTTAACATCTTGCAGGAGAAACAAGTTTACAAAACATCGCATGATAAGGAAAAGATATAGAATTTTTAATACAAGCATTCGGTGCAACCGGCGGTAAACGACGGAAAACTGTAATAACACGCTATCAGTGGCATCAAGTAGAAATGCACACTATTTGTCGGACGCTCGCATGCTCTCGCGCGTCACGCATTCCTTCACTCGAAAAGGGCGAAGAGGGAAGTAGTTTTATCGCGTCACGCGAGAAACGTAATCGAAATTGCTAAAGTCACTAGAGGCGAAATGGACTAGCTAGTCTAGTTTCCAGGCACGAAGCCGGATCTGCATTACGGAGGTACGCTTATAGTCAATAGGAAGCAGAAGATGGAGCGAGGAGAGAGCGAGTTTCGCGGATCGGTGAACGCTCGTGTGCGCGCGAGCGGTATGCGCGCGGCAAAATTCCTTATCGCTCGAACGCGACCGAATGCTCCGGCTTCGTGGCCGTTAAACGCGAGCACGAGAGGCCGGCGACGTCGTAAAAGGTGGAGCCCGTTTGATTACATCTGATTTTCGCGTAAACACCACGTAACTGTATTGCGAAAAAGTTGTGTATCGGGTACGATTTTTACGAATGTAAAGAATTTAAATTTTTTACCGAATTAATAGTTGATTATTTTTACAAATCAATCTTTAAATCACTCGTGAATATTTTTGACGTAAAGCGTCGAAAAAAAAAAACACGCAATTGTTTTATTGTACCAATTTAATTTTGTATAAATAAAAATTGTAATATTATTCCACTTTGAATGAAATTCAACCGGTAATATAACGCTTATATATTTTCCAAATTAGCCAAGCTTTGTTGATCCTCGGATATACTTTTCGCGATTTGTACGATAAGGGATTCACTTTCTTACTTTTACAAGCGCGCGAGCTTGTTATTCAATTGCGTCACCGCTTAGACATTTCTTAGCTCGATATTTCATAGCTCGTCATTCTTCGACGTATCCCACATACTTATTCAATGGCGAAACGCTCACGCGCTTTTCTCGCGAGGTTGACCGTACGTCCTTACGACAAAACGTGGTCTCGACTTCCGGTAAGGCGGCTGTCGGTGGGAACCGCCCCGGCGCACACGTGTTACGTAATTTCTACTACTCGGCTGACCCGAATACGGGGCGAGGCAGGCAAGGAGCGCGGCTCGCGCGCGGCCGGCGTGCCTACCGTGAGAGAGAAAGAGATTCAGATTCAGAACGTCGTAACTCGGCGCGCATGTTTCGCCGTCGTTGTCGGGCCGCCCCGCCGGCCGCTTCTGGATCTCCTTGAACCAAGGCGAGAGCAAAACACGCGCGCACAAAAGACAGGCGGTAACCACACCTAGCGACGACCCACAGGAAACGCTCTTTACTGCTTCACCGAATACATTTCATAGAAGATAGATACGCGGGGGGAAAAAAGTTCTCTATTATCTCTCGGTACCGTAAATGTTGAATCAGACGAAAGAGTCAGATATACAAATCCACCGTATCTAAACCTTTATGCGTGGAAAATTAATGAGCCTTTCGCCTTCTCAGGCATTCTGGCTTGATATCTCTCCGACCGCTTCAATTAACGTAATTAATAATGCGCGTACAATCAACATTCTCGCTTTGAAATTCGCGTCGTCGCCGTAAACTGATCGTTACTTTTACTGTCAGCGATAGACGGAGAATAGCTGAGAAGAGAACAGCTTTGGACGGATACCAAGTAGTCGTCAGATGCCGTACGATAACGTTCGCTCGAAACGGCTTCGCGCCGGTCGAATGCCGATAAGATCGATCCGCTCGACTTCGCGATGACCTGATCGGGAATATTCGACGATTGCGCGTTGGCACACGAATACGTCCTTGAGGCGAGAAGGCACGTCGTCCTGGAACTTTCCAACGATACAGTATGCTGCAGCGTGCTTTCTTAGGCGTGCGTCGATTAATTTCCAGCTCTGACCCCGTGATAAAATATACCGGCGCCTTTCTGCACGCTGATGACGACGCAGACGCGTTGCCCGGTGACGAAATACCGGCCGAACGAATTCGGCACGCACATAATAAATAGGCTGACAGCGGTGTTGCAAACATTGTTGAGGAGCACGCGAAAGTTGTCTCTCACGACCGATTGCTCAGTCGGAGCTCGCAGTCGGCGCGAATTCAATCGCGGGCGTAAAATTCTGTCGGAATTGTAGCGAGATGATTAGTCATTCGGAAGCACAGTTCCATTCTCCTTCGCCACTCATTTTCGCCAGCTTCCACTGACTAATCAGTCGCGAGGGGAAAGGCGGGAATGAGTAGTAAAACCTCGTCATTAACCATCCTCATTATCGTACAGACGGACAAAGCAGACGTTACCGTTTTCAGATTTTCAATTGCTCGCAGAGTTTGCGAGGGTATTTAAACGCCGACCGATCATTAGAATCGGAATAAATTCGCGGATAACTCGAATCGCAGTGAAGCGAAATGCGGCTGCGTACCCGGTTCTAAGTGCTCCCTGAAAATTGGAAAGGTCTTCGGTCGGCGGGTTAAACCGATTCGCGATTATCGAGTGATGCGGGGCGCGGGCGCGCGTGCGCTCCGCACAATCGGCTTTACCTACCGACGAAATCGACGAGGAGACTTGCAACGTCGTCATTATCGTCGGCCACGGAACGTGCGCGCAACTGTCCGGACCACTGAAAGCGTGTACAGACTAATGACTCTTCCATCTGGTTCGGGTTAGCGGAAAATCGTGACGCCGAGGTAGGGCCCTGTAATCAACGTTGTGGCGTGCCAGTCACATACAGTGAGAGGCACGAACACATTCGGTCCGTGGCCCGATCCAGTTGGGAGCAATCGGCCACGGCGGTGCACCACGCCTCGTCTAAGTGAGCCCCGAAGCTGTCCGGAGAAAGGGAGAATCGTTGCGCCGCGCCGTGCGCAAATCCACGCTCGCCGCTTAATAAACATACGTCCCGCTCTTTTTGCGCGAGCCTCTTATCTCCGATTTCGATCGCTTCCGTGACGTTTTCGCGAAACTTGTCGAAAGTTCGGACGAAAAACAAGAGGAGGAGAACAAGTCACACCGGGCAACGCTCTAATTTCTTTTATTTTATAGAAAGTGTGAAATGAAACGAACGAAACAAGAGCGCTGGGGAAAATAAATTATTACGCGCCTTTATCGCTCTCATACGGTTGAATAAATAATTTAATAAAAAAATTAAGGGTATTCGATATAACATCCAATTATTCTCCACGAGCGCACATGAAGGAAATAATCTTTAATATATTACGTCATACCGAAATAATTATACGCCACAGCTGATGTAGAAATTGTTGCCATCAAGATCCGCAATCACTCAATTTTACGCTGAGTACAATTTGATGGCGGGAAACGATTAATAAGCAGTATCCACTTTGCCCGACCAAGACTCATGGGTTTTCGGAGGATGAAAGAACCTCGTACCGCCGCGTGGGATCAATCATGCAAGCGGGAGAACCAATTACCGATCTATGATTAGCGGCGGTCTCGTAACGCGCGCCGTCCGCGCGCCGATACATTTCGCGGCGAGGAAAAATGCGGAGGAAGTTGTTAAAGGCTCGCGGGAAACGTTGCTATGCATTTGTAATAACAGCCGCGATTGAGCTAATGGCTAAATGTAACGGTAAAAGCGCGCGCGCGCGCGCGGTGTCAAGAAACAGGATGGCGAGTGGTCCCTTTCACGGTGAAGGTGACGCGTCAGTTTCGAGAGAGGAAAAAAAATATAAAATTAAGCGTCGACCGGTTGCATTTCAACACACTCGTGTTCTCGATTCCGCTGCACGCACACACACACACACACGCACGTCACACGTATGCATAATATTCTACGCTGATACAGATCTGGAGAACGTTCCACTCGATCCTATCGTGTTTCACGCTAGGAAGTAGTTAGAACAATTCGCCCGCAACTTTCCTCGTCGAGATTTCCGGAAGCAGCGGAAGCTGCGCGACGCGGTCATGAAATTCATTCCTGATTAACTCCGCGTTGCGAGCGGAGTAATTAGCGAGCGATTGACGGGCGAATTAGATATGCCGTAATATATCTCAGACCCGACATGATTAATCGTCCGGCGCGCAACAGGAAGAGTGTTATCCGAACACAGATATCCGCCGGCATCAATACGTTTTTTTTTTTTCTCTTTGAATGAAAATAATGATGTAACTAAGGTGTCGTGAACTTTTAACGGAGCCCGCGTGAGAACACGCGTGAATTCTATATTTATCAGCGTGATAAATAGTGCACGGAAAGTAACAGTGCTCGGAATAGAATAGTTGTTTCCGGCAGGCACTTGTCAATTGTGAAAAATAGAAGCGCGGATGCTGACTCAGGTGTGAGATAATCGAAAGGCAAACGCGTTGCGAAATCGCGTATCGGATCTTGTGCGGCGATTAAAGCACGCATCGACGCAGTTTTAGTCAGAGATTGTAGTTATAGAATATGATATAGAACTGATGCTCAAGGTGGAACGGTTATGATTAAGATAAGAAATTAATCCTCAGCGGCGCGTAATAATTACGAGCGTGGGGATCACGTTCGACCTTGTGGATTGAATTTCTTCTCACATGTTCTCAGGAATCGTTGAGGCGTTGCTGCTGACGATTCATCGTGTTATAGCAATGCAATAAGTAGCCGACGAATAACGAGGGTGAATAAAAGAACCGTGTAAAATCTGCCGTGTCACGAGAATTGAACGTTACTATTATAATATCGGCAAGGATAAATGGATGACGAAAGCAACCCAAATAATCCATTGCCTTTGTAATTATATTATGACGTAATTCCAATCGGCAATCCGGCATCGAGACTGCTTAAGGAAGAGGTCGAGGAGTTGCATCTCAAGGTCTCATTAATAAAATCAGACGTAGAATTACGAGAGATTTATTCAATGGGTTTGAAGAAAATGCGAAGAAGCGGTTAAGATGATAGAAAGCGTGAGAATATATATCTCCGGCCGTAGGAAGAATAGAGAGAGATATGTTAATTTGCTATTGTTGAAATATAGATATTTCAATAAGACGATATTTTTTCTATCGCTTTCGACACTTGTTCGCACCTTCTTTTGCATAGGAATGATACTGCGATAACGCGTGACAATAACTATACAAATGTCTTAAAGCGCCCATATTTATCACGAGCGAAAGTCATGCGCGAGGCATTCTGATTACGTCAATGCGGCCCCGGCGAGAATGCCATAAAGATGTAGATCGTCGTACAAAGCGTCAAACGTGACAGCTTTCTTTATCTAGCGCTAGCGTTATTTTCCCGGGCCGGTCGCGAGTGACTTTCTCGCGAAGAGGAGACGTTTCGCGCGAATCGCCGTGCGATCGACAGACGAGAGACGACAGCGGACGTCGCGCGGGGCGATCCTCGTCGTCTGGCAGCTCGGCTCAAGCGGCATCCGCCGGAAGTGAGAACGAGGCGAGAGAATAAGCGAGAATGCTAGTTTGCGCCCCGGCGATAATAAACGACCGCGCGATTGTTCTCACGTAGGATCGAGACAAATATTTGAAAGTGCGACGCGGTGTGCACGCGCGTGCTCGCGGCGTAACAAAGGCGGCGTTCGGAAAAAGATGTTTAGTGATAGATCCGTGTATAGTGGGTGGTTTCTCAGCGAGAGTGAACGTGACTCATTTCGTATGGGCGTCGAGCGCGCATTGGTATGCACGTTCGGTGGTCCGGCGTGCCCTTGTCTTTTGAACGCTGCGTTTGACCAGCGTCGACGGCCTATTTGAATTGCGTGGAGCTCTATTCGCTCTCACTTTCTTCCGGCGAGCGAAGCCGCGCCAAGTCGCGATTCGCGTTTACGGATAGCCAGCTTTGCGCGCTCGCAAACTGTAACTTTCGTTTTTCTTTATGATTAGAATAACATTCGGTCAATATTGGACTACGTGCTTTTTCAGACAGCTGCGCGAAAGTTGAAAGCAGATTAATAAGTAATTTGACATACTCCAATTTCTCCGCAATTTCATTTCACGATACAAATCTTTTAATCGATTCACGCTTGATTCTTTGTAACAAAGCATTAGCGATGCAATATTCAATTTTTCGCGAATTAAGTTTTTTGCTTAGCGAATGAATACATTTTTTAATCGATTGCTTTTTTGTTTAAACTATAGAAAGAAATCGCGAATAGATTATATTCAGCGTGGAAAGAAATGATGAAAAGTAATACGTATTCAAATTTTGATGTATAAAATTAGTTTCAAATTAATCGAACAATTTCATTACTGTAATTATTGAGTTTTATTTATAGGCTAGATGCCGCGAGTTCAACTTTGTCGCACGCAACGTATGCGCAACAATTTCTCCGATCTTTCCAAACCGTAGCGCATAATATTTTGCTACCTTATGCGGCAAACTTAATGCCTGTTCTGCATTTACAATAATCGGGTATAATTATAATGCCGCCATTGGCGGCGCGATGCGTTTCGAAAGGAGCAACCGCCCGGAGTCGCTCGAAAGATCGGCATGCCCTTAATTTATGGATTTGCCAGGCTCACGCGCGTCTGTGTTGCGATACAGTCTCGCTCTCACATTTTCTTTTGAACCGGCTGCCTAATGAGACGACGAGAGTGCCGCCGCAGTGCTACACGCAAAAACAGGAAAGCCCGCTTTAGAATGCTAATTAGCCGGCTAGTTAGGACGATATATTTCGCACCGAAATCTCACGTGAGTTTTGAAAAGAAGCGCTCATTCCGCACACACAGCGAGCCGAACCGATTGAAATTATACATCGAAAATTTGCTCTCATTTTTCTGTCGAAAGAGCGCCGACGTCCGCAAATTGGCAGGTGCTCGATAAACAGATATGATTTAAGGAGCGCACGACATATTGCTTTCTATTGCGCAACGACAGTGAAAAGAGACGGCTGTAAAGAGTCGTACTTTACAATTCGCAATTGCTCGGGTGTCGACGGAGTTTTTAAGGCGCGCACGAAAAGATCCGAATGAAACCTCCCCGGCCCGAAGATCGTTATCGTCGCGGAATCGCCGCTGAATCGCCGCTGAAAGCGGGCGAGAGATTTGCTGCTCCTATTATATGTATTAGCCTCGCTTTCGCAATTCGGCGTTACCGTAATTTCTCCGTCGTCGTCGTCGTTTCTAGCTAGCGAGAAACCGGGTTTCTCGACGAACGTCGAGAACGATCGCGGACGGCCGCGACAAGTCGTCTTTTTGTACCGCAAATCGCGCGTTGCGTCGTTCGTCCCGTTTCTGCATCGTTCGCGCACGAGCTACTTCGCTGCTCCGATCGAACGAGGAAAAAGTGACTTGGCGTTCGATCTTCGCGACAGACGAGCTGCGTCATTGGAAACCGACATTTCTATCGCGGTTTCTCGCGATTGCCAGTATCGGATCACGTAGAAGTGCTCTTGATTCATCTCGCGTGAGAGATGAATCTTTTACGTGTGAAATTACTTTCGATTATTCAACGATTTATCGTCGAGGGGTAATTTCGATCGACGTACGTCGACGATCGAATATTGCAGATCGTCGTGCAGAATTCCGCGAAAACCGACGTTCTCCGTACTTGCAATCGGTGAAAGTGCCAATAATCGGACTACTCCGGGCACTTAGGTCGCCGATCGTTCGATCGTGCCTCGATTTATTGATATCCACTCGAGGCGTCTTTCGATATGGAACGCACACGTACTCGGAGTTATTTCGTTTCT